ACAATATACCGAATAGAAAACAAGTCAATGTGTATTCTGCCATAACCCTTAACTATATAACCAAGCGGGCAATTCAAAGACAATTTTCTTATTATTTATATTTAAAGAATTTTTAAAAATATTTTGATTGTAAAATTATTATTACAAAGGATTTTTCATGATAATTTATAAATAATATTATCTTGACAATTTTACAAAAAAATCAAATTATTGGGATATTTTGAAGCAATTTCTGTCGCTTTTATTATGAAATCCAATATTGCATTAATAATATTATTAATATATTATTTTAAATAATTGTATAGAATGTAATGCTTACATAATAATTTAAAAAATGAATTTTTAAAAATAAATAAATTATATATTAATTATCTGCATTACATATAACTTTCATATAAATTTGAAATATAAACACTAAATATTTTATTTTCAAATTTAATTAATTTTTTTGTATTTTATATTATTACAATACCTTATACTCTTCTTTCATTCATTTAGACTTTAAGCTTGCGAAATTTAGAAAACATTATAAATTCATTGCCAACTTAAAGCAAAATGTTCATCACAAAAAAAACGAAGAACTAAAATGTATATAGATATTCCTCAAGTTTAAGATTTCCATATTCACAGGAATAGTTTTCAAAATTTTTCGTAAATAGTAGAGAACGCTGCATTCTTTTAATAATAATAAAATAATGAAGAATAATATATAATTTGATTAAAATTATAATAACGGTTGTTATGTAATGTGTTAAGATTTATGCAAAGATAAAATGAAGTAAATGATGTAAACAATGTGATATTATATTTTTATATAATATTTAAATAGTTATTAATTTTTTCAAAATGTGAATATCTGAAATGCTAAATACGTAAGAAGAATTTTCTATTTAATAGTTATTTAAAATATATATTGTCTTTTTAATAATGTTCATTAACGAAAAAAGTTTTTATTAAATTTTTATAAATATTTCATAAGTCATATAACAATCTACGACATAATAATAAAAAGTTATTGATAAAAAATTTAAAAAAAATTATTAATAAAAAGTTAAAAAATAAAAATTGATTTATTTTTTTTGTTAATATCTAAAAACATTCGATAATCATTGTTAATCTCTTATTACTTTTCATTCGTTCATTTTCTTTATAAAATATAAAAAAACAAAATATAAAAAATAGATAATCTCTTTTATTGTAAAATTGAAGAATAAATTATATAATAATAATTTCGTTAAAATTTCTATGATTTGTTAATTATTAATTTTATTCCTGCAATATGTTTTTTTTTTGTTTATCTATATTCTGTTTCTCATAAATTTTTTATCGTAATTTATAATCGTATTTTAAATTACATTTATTTGCATTGTATTTATCAAAATTTGTCATTATCAAAATTATATCAAATGTAAATATTTACATTAATAAAAAATGCAATATAAGAAATATATCTTCATTTTAAAATTAATTTTTAAAATTTTTGAATTTAATATTTTCCAAAATTTATATATATATGTTTTAAGTATAATTTTTTCAATATTTAAAAATCATTTATAAAATAATTACAAATTAAAGAATTAAATAAATAAATGAATAAATAATAAAATGCAATGAGATGCACATACATAGCATTAAGAACTAAATATTTTGTATATATATTTTAAATCCTATTATAGAATTATAAAAATAATTTTTGTATTAATATATATTTGTTTATAACTTTTTACTAAAATTATAAATATGATATAAATATGAAATTCTTCATATTGCACAACTAGTATTTGGATAGTTAATTGTGTTTTAAAAATGTTTGTAACATTATATAATAAATAGCAAAAAAATTTCTTTCTGTTCTCATTATTAATAAATTAAGCTTTCATTTGTTTTAACTTATCATTGTATTGTACTTCACTTTGTATATTATATTATATATTATAAGATCATCATTTTATCCATAAATAATGAAAGTGTATTTAATTCTATATCTTGTCTATAATCTCGCGCCAAAAATAACTACAGATAAAAGGAATAAATAGGAATTAAGAGCTCATAAATTGCATAGCAAATAATGGGATAAGAACAAAGATAGCATAAAAATTAGGAAATCAGCGCCATCTTTAGAGTGCCGCAAATGAAACATTCATAGATAAGGAAAGTAAATAGTAAAAAAGGATAGAAAGAGAATAGAAATTGACTGCCAGCGCCATCTCTTAAAAATTATTTTAAATATATTTTTAAAAACACTTTAGAGATGGCGCCATTAGTCAATTCTTATTTTATTTTATCTTGTTCTTAAAGAAATTTCTTTAATATTCAACAGATGGCGCTGAGGATCACTTCTTATTCTATCTCTATCTTTCTTTTATTTATTTCCTATCTTTATTTACATATGTTTCATTTGCGGCACTCTAGAGATGGCGCTAATTCCCTAATTTTTGCTCTATCTCTGTCCTTCTTTCATTATTTACTCTCCTTGTCTATACTTGCTGTATATTTTATGGGTTCTAAGTTCCGATATTCAATTCAAACATCATTATTTTAAAAATTATTTAACAGACTTTATTTAGATTATTTAAATCTATTTCTATAAAAGATCTCGCAAATTGATATTATTTTCATTATATTGTAATAATCGCAAATTTTAATTTAATAATGAGAAATATAATTCCACTCGTATATGAGTCTATTATTCATAGCAGAAGAATATTTATAAAAAGATGTATTAGAGAAATTCTATTAAATATTGATTTTATCAACTTTTTATCATTGATTATAATTTCTTCATTGCTCTAAATCGTAAAAAGTATATGAAATATTTTTATGCACGATCAATATTTAAGAATATAAAAATCAAAATCTTAATAAATCCTATTATATTATCCTATAATAAAATGCTAATATTATCCTATATCTTGTTAATAATATTAGGTACGATAATGATTAACAATGATGATTATATTAATTGGTATCAATACCTATTTTTATGTAAATATATTTTTAGCCAAAATGATTGTGAATTTTTAATATTTACATAAACAATTTCACGAAGGAAAAGAAAGATATACTTTCTTATTGAATATAAAATTATATTATTGACTATAAATTAGATTATAAGACATAATAATATAAACTGAACATTTTATAATAATTTATAATTAAAATAGAAACAAAAAAAAACGACACAATATTTAAGTTGACGATCACTTTTAATAGTTGAAATAGGAAAACAATGTACAGATACAGAATTTACATTCCTAGCCGACGAAAGTTGCTAGATAAAATGTTAATCGTGTAGTAAAAAATGAATTAAAATAAAACGATACACTTAACGAGTGGCTTATCCATTGTATTTTCTTCTTTATCTATTCGCTTATCGGTTAGTCATTTACCTAATTACGATGATTGAATTATTTAATTATAATTATGCCTTTTGTATAGACACACAGGTGTGAATACGTAATGGAGATTCTTAAAAGCTACACAATGTTGTTTTCTCTTTACTTTGGTTTTAAAGTAAGGACTAGTATGTTGAGCTTCGCTCTGTCTCTATGTGTAAAGAACAAAATAGAAAAAATGAATTTCGATACGACGAATTTTGGCGAAGATTTCTTCTCGTAGAAAAAACCTAACATTTAAGCCATATGGGGCGATGTTTTTATCTTGTTAATGGCTGAAGATGCGCATGAGTACATCTCAGTTAATGTTATTCTTCGCTTTTGTGCGCCGTATGACAGTGTATTCGAGGAGATACGATCACATCCGCTATGAGCATAAGTGAGATAGAAGTCATGTACAAATTACGTGTACAAACATCGAATACATCGTAACACGACGTACACAATGAAATATTCTTCTTGTCATCCTAATTGGTTTATGGTCACGTGAGATGTCACACTTACGAAAATATTCGCGGAATATTAATTTTTTGTGCTTCGTATCAAACGAAATGTCACTTGTGATCAATGTTATTAGATATGGATGCGGCCTGTACAAGGTTAATGCAATAAAAATACAAATATTTGCCATATCTAAAATGGCAAATGATTTTTCCCACGAATAATCACGATTAGTAACATTACACGTAAGACCATAACCTTACACATTCTAATTAATTAATTTAAGTGCGATGAAGGCACGAGGCGTGTATTGAATCTTGTGCAAGGGGGTGCAATAAAATAAGCACAAGAAAGGGTATAACATTTGCCGCGTATCGTTCATAATATTCGCGTTAGCTTTTCTATTTTTAAATAGAACAAATATAGAAGAAATATTCATCGACGATTTACACAAATGACAAGCGAAGCTCACAGAGTAATGTTATACCATTTAGAATTGGAAATGTAATTTAGAATTAGAATGTAAAAATACTATGTATATATACAAGTAATTAATGCATACCAATTGCTCGGTAGCTTAGTTTATATTACACGATTTTCTTCTCTTCGTCTGTCTCTCTTATTCATTTTTTTCTTTTTTCTTTTTTTTTTTTTTTTTTTTAATTTTTTTTATTTTTTCTTTTATCGGAGAGCTTCTTTTTTCCCTCTTCAGTAATTTTTATCGATTGTACTTATAAACAGCGATGATTGCTCCAAAGAATTACATTGCATCGTAAATTCTGATCAGAAAAAATTAGCCATAACAGCGGCCCGCGTAACAATAATATCGTTCTCATTTAAATTTCATATATTTATACATCAAGAATGTCGATTTTTCTTTATTGGCACACAAACGGAAGCAACATATATCTGATGATACGCTTAACGATTTATCGTTTATCAGTATCGCTCGATATACGCGATAAATTTGTCTTTTTCTTTATTTGACGCGCAAGAAATCTGCTTTGAGACAATAAATTTATTTATTTTCCTTATGCGAATGCCCAATTATGTTTTCCAATTTCCCCCCCCCCCCATCATTCTTTTATTTGTAAAAGCGCAAAATTCAAAATAAATTTGTAATAATTGCTAATTTCGCTTTGTTTAAACAACTATCAAATAATGAAAAATAATATATTTTCAAAAATTTCTCAAAGCGGTCGCTCGTTTCTTATTTTGAGCGCGAGATTTTTTGCCTGTCGATTTGTAATGAAACGCAACAATCGATTATCGAAGAGATCGAAGAGTATCTTAATTGAAAAAGTGTTTTGTTTCTAACGAATAATCGAAATCGAATACAAAAATCGAGTCGTTCGAAGCATCAAAAAATGACAAACAACGGCTCATGTATTTATAACCAGTCTTCGCCTCTTGTACGGAAATGGTAATTTGGAACGGATAAGTTCGTCACGGTAAAATTCGTCACGTCACTTTCGGCGATTTATCGTATATTCGCAGTTTTGTCGCAACTTTATGTCGTTCTTTGTGCAGCGCCTTTATTAAGATACAAAACATAGAACGGCATGTACAATCATAATAGTATCGTCGGCGAGAGAGAATTATTTTTCTTTCTTTTATATTCGTTTTTTTTCTCTGTTGTTTTCTTAAAAGAGGAAAAAATAGAAAAAACGAATACCAAGAAAAACTATCAAAAGTTAATATGAACATTTATCTAGTTACGAAAGCTCTCGATCGTTTCTTTAAATTTGATATTAATTCGTTATGCATTTCATTTCTTTTTCCTTTTTTGTTCTTGTCTATCTAAGTTTCGTATATGTACATTATATACATGTAAAACGGTTAATTTATATATATATATATATATTCTCGTATCTTAATGATTGTATAATTAGGATTGACTATGTCTTAGAATAATCAACGAAATTATTAATTATTGTGTAAAATATCAAATATCGTACTGTTAGATGGTATGTCCATCTCCAAGGTACCATTTTGGACGAATATCGGTCCGTCTAACTTGCCTAGCACTTTGATGAGCAAATACTTTGGAGATTACATAATCTAATAATATCAGGTAATATTAAGTATAGATGATTTTCATTAATTACAAATATAAAACATGTATATGTAAATAGAATTCTTAATTATGCGCAAACATGATCTCTAATTGAGCATACGTGAATTTTATCATCAGTCTAAGCCGAACGATGCGGCTCCATACACAACAGCAGCGGTTAACAATACACGTTTCTTTTTTTTTTTTTTTAAGCTTTGTAGAATCTACCGTAACAAATCAGTGTCCTTCTCGATTAATGAAATAACAATAGCGCATGCTACGAAAACGTTATATTCGTAAAACTTTCAAACAGTTCTCAAGCATAAAACACACATGACAACGGCGCGAAAAAGTATACAATGTGAACGACATCCTTAAGATTTCCTTGCCTTTCCTTTTGCCGCGCGTGCAAGTTCATTCTTTCGTTTCTTTTTATGTTACGTGTTTATTCAAGAATACAGGTATAGCAAATCCCATCGATTCTCGCATGAATCGATAGAATCGATCAATGATCGCGATAGAATGAAAATAGTATAGGATGCAATCGATCATCGATACTATCATTCACGCTCGATCTTTTTGAGACTCTATAAGTACGATTGCTCGGAACATACATATCTACGCAGCGATTCTCGTATTAATTTACATGGATTTAATCTGAAGTGATTTCTCGCATAGATGTGAGTGTTGAATGTGGATATGCGAATGATGCTGCATTTCTGTGTATTTTTGGAGCAATCTTACTTATTACGTATTCCTTAACTTACATTCGTACGATACGCGAGCCAAATTAGAAGCATGACAGTTACCAGGGACGTGCGTAGATTTCTCAACGTCATCTCTTGTTGATCATATTGAACATTGCAAACATAGATTCGTTCTTAATTTGTTCCTTTTCTGTTCTCGTTTTCACGATATACAAATTTTTTGAAAGAAATTCCGATTGGGCGCGTATCGATCATGATTTTTCTTTCATAGAAATTGAACGAAACTTACACCTTGTCGACCAATTTTTACGAGCTTTCGTTGCTCGTGGCGCTTCACGCGTCATCGTGTGTTCGCGAGACTCTTCCTTACAATAGGCCAAACATATGCGGTGTCTTTTTGTATTTCTTTTTTTTCTTTCTTTTCAAAAATATATGTGGACTACTTAGGCTTTCGATAAACGGAAAGACGCTGTCTCGTCCGATAACTGGAATAATTCTTTTTTTGTTTTCTTCCAGATATAATACGTGGCCTAGCGCGTAATAATCCTATACAATTATTTCATTATAGCTTAGGTAAAGTGAGACCCTCATATGATCCATTTTCTTTAATTACTTGTTTTTTTTCTGGAGTGTGTGAAACGCTGAGACATATCGCACTATTTACAAGGATAATCAATTTTTAATGGAAATAAATGCAAAAATATATATGTATAAACATTTAGTCGAACTACGTTTTCTTTCTGTCTTATCGTTTTGCATAAAGTCCTTTTATGCAAAAATGCAACTTCTAACTTGGCTGTGCCAGGGAAATAGTTTACTCTTAACTAAACTCATATTCGTATAATTAAACTTATGTACTATTGTCTTTTTTGAAGATATCACTACTCCAAGACACTCACTTTTATTTCTTTTCTTTTTGTTTGTCTTTCCTACTTCTTTTTTTTTTAATTTCTATTGCATACATAATAGATTTCACTGATTATGTTGATTACATTTTTTTTTATATTGTTGTGATTCTTTTTAATAAATATCGTATCATTTCGTTGCGATATTATTTACTTTTTACTTGAATATATATATAGGTGGCTTGAAGCTATTGCCATTTTGAAAAAATAATATTAAGCGACTGTCTTTTTTTTTGTTAATAATAGGTTAACTGTTTTCACGTGATGCTAAGTCTTATTATCAATTAGTATAAAAAAAGTTTTGTATTCGCGGTACAAAAATAAAAATTAGGCAGTGAAGTTATATTGTAATATCGTAGTTAAAAAAAGAAAATTACTTACTAGCTATTTTTATAAAATATTATCCTTAAACGACAATTAACGATATTTATAAATATTTGGCATATTTATTGTAATTTAATTATAAACGCCATATGTATTGTACCGCGTAATAATAAATTGTTAACAATCATTTATTTTCTATTCCCTGATCGTGCCGATTTTGTTAATCGAAGTAATAAAACTATACATAAAAGATAGAAAACAAAATCAGCACTCATTGGATATCACGTGAAAACTGTTTACCTTATAAATATTCTTATTTCGTTCATATTTATCGTGCACAATTATAATATATTGAGTTTAATAACTAAATCTTATTTAACGAAATATCAATCATTTTAATAGCGAAAACATTTTTTTTATCGAACACATAAAATAGAATTAACGCTTTATGATATTTGCTATTTTATTTCGCGCCAATTCCCGTAACAATAATGACATGAACAAAGCGTTCATATAAATGCATTTCACGACAATCAATTAATTAAACTATTCGTATTAGTATTGACTTTAGGATTCGGCAGTGGAAATTCCGTATTTTATACGTAATATTTTATACGTATATATTAAAATTCAACGTTTTAAAAAATAAAACGATCATTTAATAATATTCATAGAAAATTACGAAATTACGAGTCACAAAACAAACAGAAAAAATAAACAATTAAAAAACTTATGATATGCAAACATGTTCATATCTACATATATATAATGATATACGAAGAGAAAAAGATGTTTTTTTATAAATTTTGAGTCGAATCTGCTTTTGTAAAATTGAATTTTATAGAAAATTTGCTTGATCACCCTCTTAACCTCAAAAAGCGCGGGAATCATGTCTCTAATATATGGAATAAAATATTAATCTATCAAAGTATAGTAAGCCCGAGAAAATAAAATCACTTCTATATCGCGGTCAATTGTTTTAGAATTTTCTTATCTAAATGTTTTCTACTATTTTAATATCTATCGAACTTTTTGAGTTCACTTCTCATACACGTTTTGATCACATTGACTGTCACTGATAGATCATTTCTCACAAATAGCTTCTGTTTATCTCACATATCACTATCCTTGAAAAAACTGTTCAATTTAACACAGAAGAACGCGTTTTAATGAGCAAAAGGGAAAGAAAAGAAGAAAATCAGTATTATTATACACAGATTACAAACATTGACAATTCTTTCCCTGTGTAAAACGATTGTCCCGTTTCCTCTTTAAAATTTCATGAATATGTCCGCCAATGCATTAATATTTTAACTAATTTTAACTAATATTTTAACTAATTTCAAAACGGACGGTCATTCATAAAAGAAAGAGAGAGAAAAAAAAAATAAAAAAAAGTGAAAAAATTATTTGGCATATTATTACATAATGATATCGAGAGTAACAGCATCGATAGAGTTTCGATATAACATTATCGATTTAAATCGAGATTTAAAATTCGACTTTCAAAAGCGCCATCGATCGAATATATCATAAATATAACGTATTTCTGAAAAAATTTAAAAATTGTGTATATATTGTTACGGCTCGCGAATTTCCCTGATATTTCGTTTCATTATTATATCTTTTTTTTCTAATTTACAATCTAATTTATCAGTTGGATCGCATGAGTTTATCATTTAATGATATTAACTCAGCAAAATGCAACTTAACCTGATCATACCTTTGTGCTCACTAGGATGAACATTCTCAGATGAGTTTCTTCCATCCACAAATTCGTCGATTTCCATTTAATTCACACGATGGATCATGTAAGTCTTTACATCACTATGAAGTCGTCACAATTAAGTAAAAGTGCGTAAATAAGCGCAATCAAAAACCACAGAAAGAAATAGTAAAAACAAATCGAATAAATCACTGACAGCATGCTAACTGTGGTATCACGAAAATATCTTCAGAGTTGATTCCAATGGGTTGTTCACAAGTATCAATCGTTCTTTTTAAAATGTGATATGCGAAAAACGTAATTATACGATCTATCATAAGATCCAAGTCGAGGTACGTATTTGATAATTATGTTCGCAGAAAAACTAATGAAACCAGCATATAAGGAATGCATATTGCATATTGCAAACGGTGTTACCGCATGCTACTTAAAAATTACGTATAGAAACCGCAACATCGGTTCCTCTTTTCCTTTGTTTCTATTTACATACTTCTATTACTTTCTTTTATGTTCAAGGAGGATAATGTGTATGAGAAAGTCGTCGAAGCACCCACACAAACTCTTTATGATCGCACAATTTCATCAAAAAAATTCTGTTTCACGTCCTCGAACGATATCAAACTGACATAACCATATATATATAGCTCAGTGAGATGTCGAAAACGATGAACGAAGGCCGAAGATTCGTGAAAGAATTCCATGATTCGACAGCCACAGATCAAGATGTATATTAGAGCCGGGTGGTTCTTTCTGTCACGATGATAGTCTCGTCCCTCGGTACGGCACGATACTTTCCACGCACCGAACTAGGGCCGAATATTGGCGATCCTCAGACAAGATGGCCATCAATATCGGAATAGGCTGGCGTGGGAGTGAAAGTCGACAATGGATGACCATGAGTGTGCGCGTTGCTGGATACCGACCGAGCAAACGTGGTAGGTGGTGGAGGTACCGACGGTGGTATCGGCGATTTTGATCCAGCAGTCATCACAGTCACATCCGGTGGTGGGACTGGACGTGGTAAGGTTCTGCTGCGTGTTAACGTGCCTGTCCCGCTACTCACATGACTTGAAAGCATATGTCCAGTGGGACTCATGGATGGATAATAACTACCTGAACCTGGATCACCCACCACTGGACTGTGATTCGTTTCATATCCCATATAACGGCCATTGTCGATCTCCACACTGTAGAAGTTCACGTCGTTTGGCGGTGCCGGACTAGGGTTTCCGATGTAACTCGACTTCGAAACTGTAAGAAATGTAATAAATTATAATCGAAGAATTAACATTTTACATAACACAAGAGGACTCTTTAAATTATATAAATTTGAAAGTCATTACTATGTTATACTAAAATATATCCTCTGAAATTTGAGTAATATACCAGAAAGTGTTCCACTGGCTGTCGTTCGCTGTGGCGGTGAATCCATGCTTATCGGAGGTTGAATGTGGTTGCCACGGCGACCAAGTGTTCCTTGATGATGTACCTGCATTTCCATATTCCCTTTTCCAAAATCTTGCATTGTTTGATCTATTAAATACGTGCTAGCTGCGGTCTTTCGTCCCTCGTCCTATTGCATTACATAGAGAGAAAGTATATCATTAAATTAACGTAGGATGGGGGAAAACCTACAATTTGTCTATGAATTTATTATTGACTACTAAACGCAATAAAATGAATCATTACTCGAGTAATTCTGTAATTTCGTAGCGTATCAGTATGAATTATACGCAAGTACGTTACCAGTTTTGCATGCATTAAAGCGATATACTTCGCGTCGCTGTATCGACATTAACTTCATCATTCTGATACATTACGAGAGATTCTCGGTGTTTTACGTGCATGGAAACTACCTCTAAACATCCACCCCGTAACTTGTCTATATTTAAGAGTACTGCAAGAAACGAAGTTAAAATTTGCTTAAAAATCGAAATATTATTGGTAGAATTCGCAGTAAGAAGAATGTACTACTAAAGCTTTTAAATAAAGGTTTTTTCATTATGAAAAGAAGAAAGAACTATAAACTATATAACATAGTAATTAAACTGAAAAAAAAAAGAAAAGAAAAAAAAAAGAAACAATAAAGAAAAGAATTCTAATTTAACAAAATGCCGAAGATCTAAAAAAGGGAGAAGATCTAAAAAATTCGAAAAGCTATTTCTATCAAGAAGAACCGAAATAACACAAGCGAAAGGGGTCCAAAACAGAAGCAAAATGAAACAGAAATGTGTTAATAGAACTCAAACCTACCCTCCGGCATTACTTGTTACTAAGAACATACTGACTGATCGCACTGACCACGTAATCATTAGTGTCGAAGTTAACGTCGCTCTTCTCGTCCGATACCGAACTTAATTCGCCGGTCATGGTGTCTCCATTCACGGTTGATGGCGCATACATATCCGCTGTTTGCGATTTGTTTATTCCTGCGCAAAGATAGAAACGTATATTATAAAATTTGCAAAACTTTCATGTTTCTTGCTTGTTGTATTAACATTTTAAAAGTGAAATTAAAATGTTAATCAATCCGATGATTGTGTGTCATTAATTTCTTTTTAAATTTAAATTTTTGTATCAAACTTCATTTAAAATCAAAGTAATATTCATATATAATAATGAACAAGTTTGTACAAAATTGAAACATAATAATATCTCTTTTATCGAAGTACTTTGCAAACAATATATATATATTTGTTGAAATAAAACAAGATAGAAAGTTTGTGAAAATTAACAATAGTGTGCACGTTGAAAGTAGCTGCATAATATTTTTAGTTTTAGAAGTAAAATTGGATATATCATATGCTATCACACAATCATCAGATTAAAATTAAAATATATTTACACATATATCAAATTATAATATTATATGTTATATTTTTTTTTTCAGATGACAAAACAAACCGGATCAAAATTCATTGTACGTAAATTAACTTACGAGATTTATTTCGCTTTCTCATAATGTACCACAACACGATGATGAAGATATTAATGATAAAAAAGATGAGGGAGGTTGCTGCAAACGTATAGATATAATTCATTGTAAAATCCCCCTTTTCCAAGAGAACGTCTGGCAGGTTCTCAGCGTTATTCGGCCCTGCAGGATAAAAGCAGAAAAAAGACGATATAGGGCTGATTGATTATATTTACCGGAACGTTGGGCCTTCTTTTTCGATTTTAATGTAGCAAAGACTATGGGCGCAGCAATGAGTAGGCAAACAGAGGCGGAAACAGTGATGATAATGACGATGATGTAGGAAGAATTAATCTCGCTGGATGTCACGTCGGTAGGTGGTGCCTCCCCTGTAAGCCAAGCCAACGCCCCATCACCGAATTGTTATTCATGCAACGACAACAGTCCACAATGGTTAGTTACAATTTTAGCGAATAGGATCGATCTATTATTAAACTATTGCCGTCGTGTCCACGGTGTTTAATTAGCACGCCTAAGTCCATCAGCAATGGTAATTCTTCGTTCGAGACTTCATCGTTACAAGCATAACGACCATTAATCAATTTATGTCATGGGATGCCAATCGGTTAAATACTGGGCAATTATGATGATCGATATTTATTCATTAGATGCGACGTGAATAAATGCTATTTTATTCGTTGCATTGTATATTCAATGCCATTAAGCTTTAGGTATTTCGTGTATCGATTCTTTTTTTTCTTCTTTGTTCCAGCAAAAAAAAAAAGAAAATAGGATCAAATGGGATGATGAAGCAGACAAACGAGACATGATGTTGATTTAATGCAAAAATGCGGATATCAATTGCTATATAAGCTATGTTTTTTGTTATTTTATGGGGATAATAATTTAAAGGCATATAAGCAATTGTTTTTAATGGAAAATTTGATTTGGAAGAGGAAATATAATTAGTATATATAATGAGATTTAAACGTGGATATGTATTTTAAATATGGACTTCCTGAAAGATGATTAATAAAGCAAGCAAAGTACAACATTATATTTCCTTCACCAATTAAATTTGTTCTCTATTTTCCTAGAGAACAATTGCAAATATACATTTAAATTAAATAATAATATTTCATTACTCAAAGCTGACTACTATTAAATATGAAATTACATAGCTGCGCCCTATTCTTACTATTTTCCTTGAACCAAGCTACATCTTCTCATTGAATTTTACTATTATTATTACTATATACTCTACTAAACAAAACTAAATACATACGTATCCAATGATAGAATTTATTTCTAAATAAAAAAAAAATAATAAATATAAAATATTAATCTAATTGTTAGTCAATAAAAACCGTCTTTAATATCTTAGCAAACGGTTCAACATTTTAGCCTGGTTAGAATAGTCCAAAATTTAAAATTGGTTTTACCTAACAAAGCAACTACTTTGGCAAACAGCGTTGAAATGGTTAAAAAGTTAAAAAAGTAAAAAAAAAAAAAGACTTACGGAGCGTTTGAACTTTAACCAAGTCAGGTAGAAAGCCACTGTCCCCTTTCTCATTGATAGCTTTCACGCTGAACACATAGTACGTCCCAAGGGACAATCCTGTTATCGTGGTTTTATATTCTCCTGCCGATACATCCAGATAGTGGTATCGATGCTCGTAATCGAGAGCCTGCCTCCAACGTATCTGATAGGAGGTTGGCAAACCACCATCGAATCCTCTTTTCCACACCAGTGTGACAGAATCGTGGGTGACGTTGAACACCTCAAGATCGCTAGGTTTGTCCGGCGGCGACGTCACATCTAGATGTATCATATCCGTCGATTGACCCATTTTGTTCGTTGCACGACACTCGTATTTTCCGTAATCGTGCGATGTCACGCGGAAAATGATCAGCGTCGAATTAGAAATTAATTCGCTTAACTGCAAAAAGAATCGCAAAATCGTTTATTGAGATTGAATGAACAGATGAATTTTCGGGATAAATAAGTTTCAGGATTTTCTCATAATTTTGTTTATATCTTTTAATTTTTAAATTTTATAAAATATTTGCATAATATAATTTATTGCTATTTATCTTTCTTTAAGGTTTGTTTGAGAAATTAATTGGAAACGAATTTAAATCTTGTAAAGAATAATTGAAAAATAGATCGAAAGCTTACATCAGTGTGCGTAATTCCGTATTTATGTTCCGTGACATTAGGAAGCAATGTTTTTCCATTAAATGTCCAAGAGAATCGAGGTAAAGGCGAGCCTCTTGCTTTGCATAACAATTGAACGTTTGCTCCTTTGTTTGCTGCTGCTCTTCTCGTCAATGGTGTATTCATCATTTGTGGTTTAACTGTATCAAAATATTATTAAAAAAACATACATATTAAAAACATACATATATGAATGTAAAACACGTACAGTTTGTGATGAAAAGAATAGGTTCAGAGGTGACGTTGCCAATTCCATTGTTAACTTTGCACTGATATTCTCCAACATCTTCTTGATCAGGATTCTCGATGTGCAGATAAGAAGTTTTATTGATGAAAGAGGTGGAATATCGACCGGAAAGTTCCGAATTTGAGCCAACTTTCTGCCACGTGACATATTCGTCTCCTATGGGACTACCGTCCACTTCGCAGAACAATTTCGCTTCGATTCCGGGAGAATATACTATCCCCGAAGTTGAGGTGCGTTTAATCTTTGCTGAATCTGAAAAATATGCGATGCACATGAGAAAATTAAGAATTTCCATGGTGTTAAAATTCAATTGATCGAATACTTAAATTTTTTCTTTTTTCATATAACTGTAAAAATTGAGGAAAATTGAAGATAAAATGAAACTTTAGTGACTTAAAATACAAATATAGTACAGTGAAATGAGAGTGATGTGAAAATTTAGCAATTTAAAAATTTTGAAATATGAAGAATTTCATGAAGGGATTGCACTTACATTGAACAGTTAAGTTCAATTGATAAAATGTCGTGCCTTCTTCGTTAGTGGCTTCACAGATATAAGTTCCGGCATCGTGACGATCCAGTTTAGTGATATTTAACGTAGAAGCACGAACAGATATTCTTCTGTTATTACTGACCAGAGGCAAACCATCTCTAGTCCACGTATAACTTATCTCGTTAGGATTTCCCATAGCTGAAACGGAAATCACGAAAGGTTCGCCTTCCATTCCAATTAACTCGTAAGGCTCTATTGAGGAGAATATTGGCTTATCTGTAACAAAAAATTCATTTTTCTATTGAATCATGCTTTCTCCTCTAATTATTGAACATATATACACAATACACAATAACAAGGATGAGATCAATTTTGATATATATTTATAAATCTAAATCAATTACAAAAATTTTATTTTATGAGATTTGATTATTGCTCAACGAAGATAATCTTTCATCAAATTGTATACTTAATTGAATCTTAAAAAATAAAAATCTGTTAATATAATTTTCATTTAAGTTCAATCAATCTATTGATTCAATTTCGAGACATTTTTATGATACTTACACAATACGTCGAGCGTAGTAGCGTCGTGAATAGACCTGTCCATTTGATTGTTCTCGCTTGACACGTGTACACTTCCCCGTTCATTTCTTCCGTTACGTCCAACGAGAGCTCGACGAACGATAGAAATCCCCCATGTAAGCCGGGCTTAGTGCCATTTTTGGTACCTTGCACCGGGATCCCGCCCTTCCACCACGACATTTCCGCCGCCGGATTACTGCTGCTCGATTCGCAAATGATACGACCCTCTTGGCCTGCGTGCAGATTCTGCGGCTCACGGGTGATCTTGACTTTATCAGGCGGAACTGTGGCAAAAACAATGGTGATTTTGAGTTAATTGTTCGGAAATAATTGCCACGAAGCTTTTCGAGACGAGATAAATTATTTAAAGATTGGGGAGCAAAAGTAGGGGCTTCATTTATGTGGTATTAAAAGATAGGGATACAAATTGTTGAGAATAAATGCGATTGGCTGGAGGATTTTGAGATAGAATTTGGAGAATTTTAGAGGGTAGAATACAGAGGGTAAAAGGATCCTTCGAAGTTCACTTTGGAAGTTGGAATATATTGAAAATGAAAAAGGAATTTGAAAAGATCATTAAGAAAATAGATGAGAGATGAAAATATATCTTTGCATTTTTTTTTTAAATATGTCCCTACGTAAAATATAAGATACTATATATTTTACTGTAGATCTTACAATTAACTTTCAAGACGAGCACTTTGAGCAGGGGAATTTGTGTTGCGGAATTCGCTGCTTCGCATCGTATGCGCGCATTATTGTCAGATGCATTTATGAGTATCGTTAACTCGCTTGAAACCGCATGGTCTCGCGTTCTCGTGGTTCCTGGTACCTAAAACAAAAGATATATATGGATAAATAAATATAAAGAAAACAAATATACAGATTATAATCGAAATTCATTCTTTTCAATTATATTTCTGAAAATTAATACAATATAATAAATAATCAATAAAAAATATAATTATATTGCAAGAGGAAAACATAAAATATATCAATAATAAAATATATATTGTAATAATTGAAACCACGGATAATGGATAATATTAAAAGATAATAAATTTATATGAAAATATCATAAGAATTTAATTAAAATTTTCAATTCGTATAATCGATGATTCACATTTAATCATTATTTGTAAATACTATTATATATAAATAATGATCAAGAATTATATTCACCTTTCTATCATTCTTGTACCAACTCAACGTGGCGAGTGGATTTCCAGAAGTTGCGGTGCACAACAATCTCAGTACCGTTCCTGCGTCAATCGTCGTTCCTTCCTCGTAGCCGGTGATACTAAGTTTCGACGGTGGATCTGTCGCAAAACAAATATAAACTAACGTCGTATAATAGATACAATCTACTGGACAAGACACAATATCGTAGTATCTTACAAGACATTACAAGACATTCAAATTACCCGACAAAACGCATCGCAGAAGATGTATCAGGATAATATTCTACATGGTTCGAGTTGAACAGAGAAACTTTGTACACGAAACTATAGATTCTACGAATCGATGAAATTAATTCTGTCCAATAAGTTCGTATTACATTTATAGATATATTCAAGATTCGTGTTCGAATATTTCATGCTCGATTCAGATTCGTAGATCTCGGATAAACTGACAAGACACGCCAAGTCTTAGTATTAGTTTCGTATATATTAATCTCAAACTCCGTCCACATCACTCTTCCAGATTATGTTTACATTTCGTTCATTCGTTTAATTACATCCGTCCTTGTACACATCAGAATTGCGTGTTACTCACAAATCACGGTTATGGTGTGGGTTCTGACGACGTTCTCGGTCAGTTTCACGTTAGACGCGTCGCATATCACGACTATACTGCGACTGGTGCGATTTATGTTGAACGTTACGTTGGACGTGGTGATCCAACCACCTTCGGGAGCTGGCTCCGTTCTAGAAGCGTTGCTCTCGAAATTGTGACCGTCCACTGTCCACTTGATATCCGCGGGAGGATTCGAGTTCTCCGTGGTGCAGGTGATCACCACTTGTTCGTCGGCTTTCGCTTCTGTTGGCCCGGTGATCGTCACTCCGGATGGCGCGACTGGGGAAAAATAATTGTAATTCGAATTGAAGTTCTCTTCCTGGCCGTGAAACGTGTGGAAATGACGTAAGAAAATGGAGAATGATTAAAGTAATTTATATTTTATAATCAAATATCTAAGTTAAGAAAAAAATGTGTAATTTTTGTGTAATTACGAGATAAAAATACTTACAAAGTACAGTCAGATCCACGTGCACTTTTAAAGGTTCCACGCTCATGATATTGAATACCTCGCATCTATATCTCGCATTATTATCTTGCGCTTTTGCAGTAATGGACAACACGTTCTCAGAGAAGTGGCCCTCGTTCCTGTAGGGTGATGAGATCCTTTCGTTGTTCTTGTACCAGAATATTTGGGGAGGTGGATTTCCTCCGCGAGATCGGCAGGTCAGGTCCAATTGCTGTCCACGTTTCACGGTCTCACCCTCGGTGTAACCTTCGATGTACGGCATGGTGGGTGGATCTGGAAAAATGATTCGATCATGCAAAGTTTCGAAGGTAAAAAAAAAAAAAAGAATACATACATAGGACAAAGAATGGGGATCTGTTCTCGTTGTTTTAGTAATGGAAAAAGTTTCTCAATAAAAGTTTCAAACCGGAAGAGGCGAAGAAGGGATAGCGACGTGTAAAATTAACATGTCAGGTCGTATCGCAATCGTTCGATGGATTCTTCTTCTGCTTCATATATAGCGCTGATTGATTATCACGCGTAAGTAGAAATAATTGTAATTATCACGAGGATAATTTCGTTCTAGTTTTAGTAATTAATGAGTCAGACAAATGAGCCAATAAATCGGTGATGTAATGATCGATATAATTTAGACGATTACTAATTAACTAATTTGTCGTAACATTTCCTCAAGTTCCTTGATCAGGATTATTAATTGGATTTGGTTTAATTTGGTACGCGATTATTTTCACACTTAGAAATGACTAGATACGATGGAGTTTCTTCTTATTAATATTAATATTAATATATGATTTTCGAAAATTGTACTCACAGAAAACAGAAAGTTTGATGGTTGCTCTTAAAGGCATACTGTAGGGTAATGCAGGGTGATTAGCTTCGCAAGTATAATCCATGTCGTTGTCATCAGCAGTGGGAACAATGATGATGGAACCGTGGGTGTCGTACTTGAGTAATTCCTTCTTGTTCTCACCTGGCTTTTGTACTTCTTTGTCTAAAACAAATGGTAAATCATAATTTTATATAATATTCTAGAGAATATTCTAAGATGTAAAAAGTGTTAGAAATATGTATTTTCTTACAATTAATACCAAAAATGTCTTGATATCATTCAATTTCTATTAATATTTCATTAACAAAAATTTAAACTTAGAATATAAATTTATATGAATAAATATTTTAAACAACTTTGATTATGAATTATTAAATTGCATCGTATCTTTTTAAATTTATTCGTTATTTTATGAAAATAATATGATGAAATATTTTTTAGAGTAACCAATAGTATACATTTGCATGTTACATTCAATAAAAAAAAGAGACGTAGAAAGGTTATCAAATAAAAGGACCTTTTTCGTGACTTGTGTAATTTAACGTCTCTTGGGTCGATTTTCTCATGTTCCCTTTTTATCTTGTCCGAATGCGAACTCTCATCCATCTTTTATAAAAATGTACATACACATGTTCCCATAAAACTAAGTAGATCCTCTTAAAGCTTACTCCAAAGATACCATAGATTAAGAAAACTTTAAATTAAATTTATTTCTATAGGATCATGCACTTTGAAGTCTTCTTTCCTATACGATCTTTCCCTTAAGATTCAACATAAATTATCCTTATGATAAAAATTTTTTGATAATATAGTAATGTTATTTAAATGAAACACGCAGAAAAAGAAGAATAATTTGTTCACAATGAAGATATTTATATTATTAATCGTAAATAAAATAAAATCTATAAAATATTTTTGTAAAAAGTAAATTTTTAACAGTGATATATTCTGTACTGAATATTCTGAAACTATGCCAGTTTAGCTTTAAAAAATTACAAATTTCCAATGAATTCTAACAGTACAAAAATTAACTTTTCTCTCTAAAGTTTTTCAAATTTTTGACACCACATTTCAACTATATTTACTCACATTATTGATTATTATCGATTGTTTTCGAAATACTGTTAAATCATTATATATAAAAATAATGAAATAAGATCGGACAGGCTTTTACCTGAAACAACGATACCTATTAGTTTTCAGAAGCCTTCCACAACGATGCTATTAAATGTAACACGCGAGAGCGTCACTATGAAATACGATTTTGTTCTTGATGTTTCACCTTTAATTCCACCTGGGACAAGTTATTCTATAAATTATTCATCGTCAATTTCTATCTTATTTATTTAAATTTCTGTTTTTTTTTATTTTATTTTCATTTTTAATCGATACTTGTTAAAAATTCGGGTCAACTCGAATTGTTAAAACGACGCATATAATTTAAGATTTAATCGAAACAGTGAGAATTTCGATTATATCATGCTCAACGTGGCTTTATGCAAATTTGCCTGGTACCTCGAAATGATCTTTGTTTGGAATTTATTTGTTAATTTATCGTGAAATTTATTTGTGGCAAATATAATCAGTTGCAAATAACAAATAAGAGTACATTCTTATTGCTATTTATTCGAATTACACAATTGAAGTAGAAAGATTATATATTAAAAAATTGGAAATTCTGAATTTTACGATATATATTAAAGATCTTGAAACATTCGTTGATTAATAATTTTACTAAGTATTTCACTCTCCAAGTCGACTGTCCGATATTAATTAAATTTAATGATATCGGTGTTTGGTTAATTGATACCTGTCCTCGACGACGTACAGAGATATGAAAATTATCGTCGACTATTTTCAATATTAATTAAACGATTGTCTTGCAACCTGCTTTTGATGTTAATTATACGACTATTTCGTTAGTTAATGGATAATGTAATTCTCACCATAAATTATTTCTTGTTCACTATGACGATTTTACTCGAAAATATACTTTATTTAATAACATTGAAAAAAATTACGAAATATTGATTGAAATCTTCACTAAAATTCTATTGATATTATTAAATATATAAGGTTTCCTTTCTTTTCGAGATACTTTTACAAATTATTTAACCGTTCGTTATAAAACATTTATAAAAGAAAAAATTGCAAATTTAAAACAGAGAATTGTCGTAAAATATAATTTTAATTAAAACATGTCTCAGCAATATTGCAATTTTAATTCCACCAGTATCATTAGTTATAATTGTTAATAAAGTTAGACAGCTGAAGCTACCACTGATTTAGTGAAAGGAGCAGAGGTAATAGGAATGCGATCAATGAAAAGCGCGTATCGATTTAGAAACCAATACGTAACTCACGATGTGGTGGAGCATGTGCAAACGACAGGAAGAACTTGCATGGGTGCAATTAGAAGTAGACTAACTCGGAGACTTAGTCGTAAACCACCGAAATTTTGTCTCAAAGTATGAAATCCGACTGACTGAACAGGCAACGAGAATGTTTCTCGAGTTCGGACGAGAAAGGCATTCGAATTCCCTGATGGAATTAAAATCGAGAAATTTCGATCAATCTCACTAACGATATTTCATTAATTTTCATTTATTATTTTTTTAATCCGTTTTAAAATTCGTTGTAATTAAGAAAATCACTAATAATTTAAGGAATTTTCTAATAAATTCATCTTTATTTTTCCTTTATCGATATAGAGAGAGAAATTCGAAACGAGACACGTGCAGGAATTATTTTCAGGATTTTAAGAAGAAATCTGATCGTGGACAGAAAATTTTGTTCGATCAACCGAGGGTACACGAAACGAGAGGATTTTCCATTTTCTATTTTATCGTGTTGATTTTTAATTTTTTCAAGGAACTCCAATTTCCCAGTCGCGACAGTATTTTCACAGTCAACGGCCAATTTTCTTTTCTTTTAAATGAAAATTATTTTCATCCATATATTCTAACGAGGAGAAGGAGATAATTTCTCCTCGGGTTAAGGAGTGTAACAAATGATTCCTCTTGTAAATAAATTAGCGGGGCCAGTCTCTCGAGTGTAATACACCGAAGTACAAAAATCTTGTTATCTCGCGATTATTTCACGAGCGAATATTTGTCGGAACTCGATATCTTTCCATTTCCATTTTTGCATTTTCCCTCCCTCCGTATTCTATTCTTTTCTTACGCGTTATATCGTGAAATATCATTTTCTCGTGTCTATTTGTTATATTTAACGCGATAACGAGCTCTTGGTCGTAAAGGGAATTAGAACGTGTCGTATTCTTCTGATAAATTGAATGATAAATTCGAACGATTTTAAAAATACTCAAATAATATTTGGAATTAGCATTTATATATATTGAGATGTATGTATTTTTGATTAGTTTTACATCTATATGATTGGATTTGGATACTATAGAGAAATAAAAAATATGAATTTTTTTTTTAAGAATACAAGATATTAAATATTTGGAATTTAATTAAAGAAATATAAATTCAAGTTATTAATAAATTTCTTAAGATTCAAGAATTATTAATAATAATATCATATAATAAAATTTTCATCCATGTTTTCAATTCTTTCATATATATATATATATATACACAATAATCGACATATTGTCATAATTTTTTCACACAATTTTTCTATTGTCAAAGGCTAAAAAAAAAAAAAAACACGGTGAAAGAATGTCAGAGATGAAACATTACATTTACCGTAAATTTAAAAAAAAAAGAGAAAAGAATAAAAAAGGACTCGAATTGATATTAATAAATCTCTTTCAAGATCGCTTTCGAACTACGTTTCCTAGAATCAAAGTACTTTCATCGTTAATAAATAAAAACGTGCATTTTCTTCCTGTGCATATTCAGCTTCCCTTTCCTCTCTCATTCTTCTCCCCCTTTCTCCTCTTATTATCACTAATCTTATCACTGATTAAAATTGATCAAAGGAACGAAACGCATTCTTTTCTCTTTCTCTTTTTTTCTTTTTTTCTTTTATTTTTCGAACGATTGATTCGTCGTCGAGAAACGACGTTAAACGAGGCGAAAGGGAGGGAGGAGGGGGGAGAGGAGAGGGGATTAAACGACGAGAGAGAAGCAATTGCAATTAATATCGTCGTCATGGACCAGTGGAGTGGCCTTTATCGTTCCAGCCAGGCGAATTACGAACGAAAAATCTTCACGCAGCCTGTACGGCTGTAGATAAAACTTTCAAGCTGGTGGAACAAGTACTGCAAACCATAGTTACGACCCTGGGGATCATGAAACGTTAACTATGTTGGAGCAGCACGAAAAGAACGGGAATATGGGATCGTGGAGGAGGGGAATGTACAAGAGAGATCGATCTAAAAGGAAGAGCGAGCGAGAGAGAGAGAGAGAGAGAGAGAGAGAGAGAGAGAGAGAGAGAGAGAGTAGGAGTGCTAG